GGTGATTGATATATAACACCCTGGTCAGCTAGAGACTCGCCAACTTCCCACAACATTTGCCTTTGACCGAAAGGACAGCTAGAAAAGAGCACCACCAGGAGACGTGAGGCACTCGGACCCTTGCGCACCCAGGTGGGGAACAGCTCCACTAAAGCAGCCTTGGAGACTGCACTTCGGCTGGGAAACCGGTCACCGACAAAGGCACAAACAGTGTAAACTCTGAACTCCCGCCAAGTCACAGGCTACTAGCTTCTGGGTGCTCTGACACCCAGCCACTGGTTGGCATCTGACCATTTCTTGGTAATTGACCACCCACCGGCTTTTCCATTTTCCCTAGTTCTCAGTTCAATCTGAACATGCTCTTCCCTGGTAGTCCCTCCCTCCCGGTCCTAGAGCCCAACCTTGCACTTTCAGTAAGATAACCCCTACCTCCGCTTTGGTCTTAACCCCTGCTCACTGTCTCATGCATCAGTACTCCGATGTCACCCACCTCAGGGCCTTTCCACTCACTCTAGCCAGAGAAGTATTTCATCTAAAAATGTCAGTTAAAATCTTATCCATTTTCCAAAGGCCAATTCAACTGCTCTTTTCCTCCCTAGAAGATCTTTGAAGAAATGCTTTCTCAACCCTCTATAACCTCACAACTCTATATTTGGTGAACCTTTCTGTACCAATTATTATACTCTGTCTTTTGGTCTTACTGTTATCTGTATATATTTTTGTCCCCTAAACGGAAGCTATACAAAGACAAGGAACACATCTTGTTCATCTTTGCACTCCTCCACCTCAAACTGCTGAGTTAACTGTTGAGCTTCTGATGTCTCAGGCTCACACTGTCATATAAGTCTTTCTCATGATTAAAAAAAAAAATTAAAAATTATAACAAAAGAGGTATTAAGCTGAGAAATAAAATTCTAAAACGTCTTGTCAAATAAAGTACAAATTCCTTAATAAACAATGTTTATAAATATGCTCAGTGTGTTATGCTGAACACCCAAACATCTTTACAAAGTAGTAAGTTAAAAAAAATCAAAAGGGGCTGGGCACAGTGGCTCACACCTGTAATCCTAGCATTTTGGGAGGCCAGGCTGGGAGCACTGCTTAAGGTCAAGAGTTTGAGACCAGCCTAAGCAAGAGTGAGACCCCTTTCTCTACAAAAAGTAGAAAAATTAGCTGGGCATGGTGGCACGTGCCTATAGTCCCAGCTACTCTGGAGGCTGAGGCAGGAGGATCGCTTGAGCCCAGGAGTTTGAGGTTGCTGTGAGCTAGGCTGACGCCACGGCATTCTAGCCCGGGCAACAAAGTGAGACTCTGTCTCAAAGAAATAAAAAATAAAAAAAAGAAAAAAAAAAAGAAATTTTCAAACAAGCAAAGTTTCAAAAAATTTATGTCCTATCTATCTTTTCTTGGGAAGCTTCTGGGAGCTGTGATTTATCCAAAGAAAAGGTGGAGGGTGGAGAGGCAATGACATGAGATTCAGGAAAGACAAAAACACGAGAAGGAGCAGAGAATCCCCTGGATGATAATGAGGAGCTCTCAGGACACTAACGGTGCAGCAGAACAGCCAGCCCACACTAAAGTCCTCTTGGGTGTCTGTGGAATAATAAAATTGATAGGGGTGTGTGTATATATGTGT